AATGGCTATGGCGATGACGACGATGATGAGGATGTGGATGTTGATGATGACGACGACGACAATGTTCATGTTAATGTTTCCTCGACTGGCTATGCCTTTATTTGTCCTTTTGTTTGATCGCTTTGTATGCTGAGCAATTATCAGTCATGCATTTATTTGTGTTTCCTTAAAACTGAGTTGAACGAAATGAAAATCGTCGCATATTTGATACATCGATGACTTCATTAAATAGTTATTGGATTTTCAAAAATGGAAAATGGGCATTATCATACCCTCCTATATGAGGGAAAATTGCTTAGAAGCTTAAGAGTAGTAGGGTTTTAAATTAACTCTCATAACCCCAAAATTTATTTATTTTTAGAAAATTATAATATGGGATGAAACTTATAAATGGTAGCTATAGCTGCATCTTAACCGATTTTCACCAAATTTGACATACATGTTTTGAGGCTAGGTTTAAAATTCTATACTATTTGGTCAATATTACATATTTGGCGAATATAATACTTGAAAGAGGACGAAGATATATTTGCGAGCTATAGCCAACTCTAAACCGATTTCGTTAAATAAAAATGAGTTTTAAACCAGAAAATCTGCCGAGTTTAAAAAAAAACCTCAAGCAGCCTTAAACGCAATTCTAAACATCCCTCCGGTCGAACTTAGTATACAGTACCGGGCTGCACGAGGTGCGATAGGGCTGTTCGAGTAAAATATACTGCAAGCTATACGACAGGTTAGTTCTAACTAGCTGGACTTTCTGGGGGCAGAATTCAACTTAAACTCTCATGAACGGAACAGCGATTACATATCTCCAACCATGACGATTGACAGGATTGAAATACTGATTTCAAGTAGGGATGAATGTAACCAACCTACCTATAACCGATATACAGACGGATCGAAGATAGAAGAAGGCAAAGAGTTCGGAGCATTCTGTGAGTAACTAGGAATCGCTCATTTCTACAAGTTGCATGGAAAGTGCTGTATTTTCTTCAAGTTGAGTGTTTTTTAAAGCTAAAGAATTTTCCAAAATCAATTTCGATGCAGCCTTGAAGTGTACAACAGCTCTGGGAAATCTATACACTACTATCCGGCTTTGCTGGGTACCTGGTCATTGTAATATTAAAATATGAATTGAGAAGAATGGGCTCGCAGTCAACCGATCTTGAAGTCGCCGGCATCTGAAGTCCCCTTCTTTGTCGTTTTAACAGAGCATTAGAACTCCTCTTCAGCGAGAAAGCCAAAGTGTGCTGGTACAGCGAACTACGGTGCAAGATATTAAAACAAATCTGACCAGATATCTCCTAGCGTAGAACTCAGTCTCAACTAAGCATGCAAAAATCAATGTTAAGGATCCCAATAGGGATAACTCAAAATGGGATACTAGCAAGGTTGGCACTAAAAAATACCAAATTGTCGATCACCTCAAGCAAGCGCTTTGCCAGGAAGTGGCCCATTCGAACAAATCTTAACTTATTCTCAAATTTGATGTTATTTTCAACATTTTTGCTTTCACAATAAAATTAAATAAAAATGTAAAAATTATGGCGTTTGACTTAGTTGCAGTTTTTTTATCTCATCCTGCAAATTCTTCCATTTTCTTAAATTTTCAAAAATTTTTTATATATATATATTTTTTTTTGAGGTTGTTACAAGCAGCAGAAAAACATGTTGTTAGAAGCTGAGGACGGAAATTACAATAGTATGGGTGCTTTTTATACCCTACAACACTATGTGTTGGGGGTATTATAAGTTTGATTGGGCCAGAATTTATGTAACACCTCGAAATATTGGTTTCCCATATAGGAAAGTATATATGGATCTTCCTAGCTCGCCGAGCTGAGTCGATCTAGCCATGTATGTCCGTCCGTCCGTCTGTCCATGTTAATTTGTAATCACTCTACAGGTCGCAATTATGACCCGATCCTTACGAAATTTTGCACGAAGGTTGGGTTAGGGTCAGAATAGAAGCCTATTTCTTTTGGAGATGATCGCCAAATGTTTAGGGGTTGAAATGGACCAAATACTGAAAAAATATCGGATTTTGCAGTAGCTATACAAGTCGCAATTTTAGACCAATCAACACGGAATTTCGTATGTAGCTAAAGTTTAGGGCGGGGAAGAAGCCTACCAATTTGGGTGGTGATCGGATAATATTTAGCGGGTAAAATAGACCATATCTTTTGAGTTGAAAGAATTCAACATTTTTCATTAAACCGCGAATATTTTAAATCCCGGCGAAATCACGAAGCCATGACAAGGTTACTTCTGACCTTTACATTGATGTTAACATCCAACAAATCGGATATATAGCAAAATATGTGCGATATACATGTCTATCAAAGAAGATATGCTTGAAAGATCTCATATATGTCGAGAACGGCTGAACTGATTTCGACAGTTCTCATTAATTCAGAATGGCCTCTTGGCAGGAAACAAAAAACCTCTAAAAAAAAAAAGGCATAAAAATATCTCTCTAAAGATGAAAATATTGATTTTGTAACATTTTCTCATATTTTTTTCAATTTTGTCACATTTTTGGCATATTTTCATTTTGAATTAAAAAAAACTGCAAAATTGTCAGCAGGTCGTAATTATTGCCCGATCCTCACGCACATTTGAATGGGGGTTACGGGCATTGCAAAAAGCCAAGCAGTTTTGGATGGCCATCCAAAAATATTCAATGTGTGAAATAGTTTGCCAACTTTTGTAGACAAAATACGAAAATGTTCATTCCAGTGACTTTTTGGAGAATTCACAAATACAGGAAAGACGCACTTCTGACTATTTCGTTAACGCTGATTTCGTTGAAGAATATAGTCAAATGTCTGTGTCTCATATAGATGCGTTTCAGTCAAAAACCAATAATAAATGTAAATATTTTGCCACTCCTGAAAGATTATAGGTCTTTGGAAAACATTGGTTCCAGATCTAGGAAGACCATTTACGTGCAACATCTTCCAATAAATTGGAAATGAGCAAATTAGTTAAAGTTGCTATTATTCGAAAATTAGAGAACGAAACCTGATGGTTTTCTTTTATTATTTGTCACAATATCTTGTGGAATTCTTTCGAGTATCTCGCATATATAAACTGTATCATTATAGTGTTGTAGGGTATTCAACGGTCGGCCCCCCTCGACTGTAGCCTTTGCTTACTTGTTTTCTTCTCAAATCTGTAAAACACCAATTACTAAATTACTGCCAATTTGATTGGGAAATTCTGTTGAACCCATCAAAATTGCTGAATATATAACAGAAGCGCAGAAAATTAGACAGACAGCAATACCAATATTCAAAATATTGCGAGTTTCATCCTGATTTTAAAATTTTAATACCATTTTCCACCATTCAAGAACATCTAAACTTTTTCTCCCTACTCCCATAATTTTTTTAATTCCAATATCACTTCCCTTAGCAAACTTTAACTTTTTGTTCACACTTTTCCTCCCAAATGCCTCTGCCTCTAATAATTTTGATAACATGAACGCATACACACAACACCACGACATAATGCTACACAATCATATTACACTCAATTTACATTGGAGTAAACATTCACCGAATTGATCAGCAACATTTGACCAACAACATTTTAAATGTGAATGCAAAATTAAATGAAATTACACGATAACAAGTAACAATCATTAGCATTGTATGTACGGCACACGGCCAAGGAGTATCAAACACCATCTCCCCCCAGCCAGCCAATGTGAACAAGTTCATTTGCACAAACGCACATCCACCACATCCTCCACACATGTTCGATTCATAATTACACAGCTAAATATATGAATGTATTTTGGAAATTATAAATGCAATAATGATAAGAAATGAAATTAGCAGCAACAAACAAATGAGGGGCATATGAGCTCGGCTCGTTCACTGAGGATGGGAAATTTGAAATGTGTACTTTTAAGTGAAATTCAAAAAAAAAGACAAGTAAAATAGCTGTAAATTCGGCAGGGTCGAGCTTTTAATACCCTCCACCATTTGGAATGAATTTAGAAAATTAAAAAAAAATAAAATCCGTTAAAAATTCTGTTAAAATCTTAAAAATACCGAATGTAGCCGTATGCATATGACGAATATTCAAATGTGAATCTTAAAAAAAAAATCGGTGAAAAATGTAGCTAAAATCATCAAAATGCCGAATATAGGGAGGTGGGGGCTGTACCAAAACGTGGACCTACATGGCCCAGAAATTTCCACAGACGGACGGACATCGCTAAATCTACATAGAATTTTATTCTGATCAAGAATATATACACTTTGTGGCGTTTAAAATTTATGCTTCGGAAATAACAAACTAAATACACCCTCCATACTATGGTGAAGGGTATAAAAATGAAACTGAAAAGAAGGATATATAGCAGACTACCTAAAATGAAGTTTTCTGATACACAGTACATATTGACAAATTTGTCTAAATCCTATACAAATCATAAAATCGAAATCGAAGACAAAAAAAAATATTCCCATTAGTAACATAGTACCACTAAAAGGTACAATCTCCCAAACATTCACCATCTCCATCACACAAACAAAAAACAATACTTAGGGCGAATAACAATTAAACAACAATGGATTCGCTGTTCTATCCCCCCAACAAAACACTTGTTGTTGCGATAAACCTCTTGCAATCGATTCTAGCGGCAATCCTTGGAGACACAAAACAAATTCGAACAATTTTTAAAATTCCCCCAAACTCTAGCGAATAAAACAGCCGCAATTCCTGCATGCTCATTTACATACGTACATATGTACGTATGTGTGTGTTTTCTTTAACAACCGAACAATATGAAATGATTAAGTGAGTATGCTCACGGCCGTTTATGGATTTGCCGTATAAATACACGGAGTACATGTGTAGGAAAAATCCAACACCATACGGCAATGGGTAAGAGATTTTACATGTCTACCTTGTGGGAATTCGAGGTTGTGATAGAACGCGTGGTTGTGTCTCCTGCCAGATTTGTTTGTGTGTGTGTTTGTACTTACCAATTGCCAAGTGAACAGATAACGCCACTTTATTAATGCTCAGAGCCCAAATACGCAAATTATGAACACGCTGTACACCCTCGATTTGTTGGAAAATGTTAAGAACTTCCGCATAATGCAAATAGCTTGGTGTACCCTCCATGAGGACCTAACTCCATGCAATCAGGCACACGTTTATAACAACAGCAAAAACAAAATAGGGGTAGGCCGGAGTCCAGTGGTGTGAGCGACAATCAGCAGCAGCGGCGGCGTCGGGTACGGCAGGAGGTCAGAGGACGCACACACATTGTATATTTATCATTTTTAACCGCAGGCGATGACAGTTCAAACACCGAGACGTGTGTTTGTGCGATGAGAAGTTTTTCGCAATTCACAATTCCAAAGGTACCAGGGTAGAGACAACATCATCCAGGACAGCAGAGAAATCATAATGGAAACATGAAACGAAATAGAAAAAAGCAAAAAAAAAAACGCAAATCAGAAATCGTTCACAAAAAATAATCAGACAAAACAAGTTGTGCTTTTATGTCGGCGTTCTGTTCTAAATTCAAACAATAAAATAAATAAATAATTTGCAGTTGTCACTGATGGAGGTGTTGTTATTGCCGTTGTTGTTGTTATTGTTCAGTTTTTGTGGGCAACATTACGGCAGCAACAAGATCAAATTACAAAATAAGCTTTGCAAATTTCGAAATTCAAATCTCTGGTGGAGCGATTTATTTCCATGCCACAGGAAAGGGAAACACAGAAACCGAACAGAAATAAAAACAAAAGAATAGACATTCCCAGTGTCGTAGATGGGAACGAATGTGAATTTTGGGTTGATGGATTTTGAAGTGAGAATATTTCTAATTTTTTCCAATAAAATCTAAATGTTTAATATTTCAAAGCAGAGGAGTCTTAAGATTTGCATAATTTTTGTGAGAGTAAATTAACTAAGGAATTTAATTTTTATAAAATTATAAGAATGGACAAAAATCTGGAAATATGTTTTTCTGCTGTTTTTCAAATTCAGGTTATATAAAAAGATTTATATGTTTTCATAATGAGAACTTTTAGCAACATGATACAGTGTTGTGTAAATTTAGCTCATAGTTCTGCACAGAGTGAGATCAAAAAAACTGCAACCAACTTCAGATTGCTATCATTTCTAAGCCACTCGACTGACAGCAGTTAAAATTATTCCAGTGACAGCTCACTATATTGTTTACAAGCGTACAAAAGCATTTTGGTAAGAATTTCCCAGAAAAAAGTTATTCGTGATGGAATTCAAGCGTGATAGTGTGATTTCTTTATATTTGGCTGGAAAACCATAAGTGGCTATCGTTAGAGCACTCCAGCATTTAAATGTGAATAAATATTTTGTGTCTCGTACAATCGCTTGTTATCGTAGCGTAGCCCGACGTAAAAGAAATGGACGCAGGAAAACAGCAAGATCAGCAGAAATGGTTCGAAATATAAAGAAGCGACTTGATCGAACCCCGCGTCACATTGGCCGAAAATGACTCGTGAGCTAAACATATCACAATATTCCATTCCGCAAATATTGAAAAATGAGCTCGGGGTAAAGCCATTGAAATTCCAAAAAGAACAAGAACTTACACCGCAACTGAAAGAAAATAGACTCAAAATACCTAACGAGTTGCTTCGCTTGGCCGAAAGTTGTGAACTACCGAATTTGGTTTTCTTCGATAAGAAAACATTCGTTGTCCAGCAGTTTGTAAACAAACAAAATCACAGTGTTTACTTGCAAAGAGGCCAGCTGAAAATGTGCTCCTTCGGTTGGCCACCAAAACTCAAGCGCCGCGCGATGGTCGCTTTCCGCTCGTATTAATCTACCGTGGCATCTAAAAAATGCCGAATATTATCGCGAAAATATTCTGGAGGGTGTACTAAAGCCTTGAGCACGCAAACATTTTGGCCGCAGAAGCACATCGCACTCAGCACGCGCCAAACAAGAATGGTTACAAAATGAGGTTTATTTCCGGCGCACAACTGCCACCAAAGTCTCCGAATACCAATTCGTTGGACTATTGTGTCTGGAGTATTTTGGAAAGCAAGGTTGGCACTAAAAATACCAAAGTGTCGATCACCTCAAGCAAGCGCTTCGTCGGGAATGGGTCAAAATACCACAGAGCAACATTCGGGCAGCGTGTGACGGTTTCATTGAACGTTTGAAGGCCATAATTCGTGCCAAAGGTGACCAATTCGAACAAATCTAAACATATTCTAAAATTTGATTCTATTTCCGACATTTTTTGTTATCATTTAATAAAATTTAAAACAAGTAATCAAAGGATTACCCCTAGCATTTTGAACAGAGACATTTGCCCAATATTTACGCACTCCGTCGTGCTGTTATTTTATTTCACCTCTAAATATTATCCTATGACCATCAAAATTGAAAGACTTCTGCCAAGCCCTAAGCTCTAGCCCCACGACGATTGATCTATAACTGCGGCCTGTAGAGCAACTGCAAAATCAGGAAATTTTTCAGTTTTTGGCCCATTTCAACCCCTAAATATTAACCCCAATATCAACCCCTAAAAGCAATAGGCTTCTATTCTGGCCATAGCCCCACCTATATTCTAAATTTCGTGAAGATCGGGCCATAATTGCGACCTGTAGAGTGATTACAAATTAACATGGATCCATATATACTTCCCTATGTGGAACTCAATATTTTGAGGTGTTACATAAGTTTTGGCCGAATCAAACTTATAATACCCCACATAGTGTTGTAGGGCATAAAAATAAAAATTATGGCTTTTGACCAGTTTTTTATCTCACCCTGTATTATATATATCGTTCCATCTAATATGAATTTTTTTCTCCTATTCGGTTTGTGTTATTTTTGGTGCTATATGTAGCGTATACGTAACATATTTTCAAGCGTAAGGAAAACGTATACGTTCCATTAAACCAAATTGGTTTAAAATCATTTCATCAGATACTATAAAATCTCTAAGATTTCACAGATTCTTTCAAGTCGTTCGCTCTCTAATATGAAATAATTTCGCCGCACTCCATTACACCACAAATTATGGACGCAAAACAATGAACACAAAAACGAGCTAGCGACGAGATAAAATTAAATAAAAAAAGAAACAATAACTGAAAAACAGCAGCAGCGGTGGCAACGAAAAACGACAACTGAAATTTACATTTACGGAATATTTTATATCTAAAATGATAAATGAGTTGTTGTTTAGCCTCAGTGAAATGGGAAAAAATAATACAAAAACAACAACTGCAAAAATTATGGCATTCGGCGAGGTTCAAATCAAATGATGGCGTGATAGTACACACACATATAACCAAGTGGTGTGGGAGAGAGATGAGACGCAGAGAATTGTTTCCATCAGGAAAATTGTAAATAAATGCCATGGGATTTGAAACCATTAAACCACGAATGAAATCAATTAAGGGATATGAAACTAACCAAAGTGTTGGGCATAAAAAAAAAACACTTTTAGCAATTCAAACTTACCAGCAATGCATCCTTGATAATGGCAAAGGTTGTAAAGAGCACAATTATTGAAAAGACAAAAGTGCAAATGGGATCGGCCAATGACCATTCGGGTTTGAAGTATATAACCAAAGCGGCAATGAACACACCAACACTCTGAACCATATCACCAAGTACATGTATGTAAGCAGCTCGGACATTCATATTTTGAGCTTCTTTTCCAGCTTCGCCGCCATGGTGATGAGTGCCCACCGATGTCTCGGCCATAACAGCTGCCATTTCTGACCTGACTTCGCTAACCGAACGGGAATTCTGATATGAAAATGTTTGTAGACCTGCCGATGGTAATTCAGCATCTGGCAGAACACCGCCTTCCAGAGTCTCTGTTGGTGGTGTAGGGCAGACGACATGTGACCGACTACCATTTTCATTGACGAATTCTGGGAATGGTGATGATTTTTGGGCCGGTGTCAACGACATGTCGCTAGTATGGGTTGTTGATGATGTCTTGCCTTTCTTCTTCTTGCCACCATGGCTGTGACCCATTCCGCCACCATGACTGTGGCCGTGTTGCAGTTGAACGCCCATGCTGAAAAGAAGAGAAAAATGGTAAATAAATATCAGTTATAAACTTATTTAATTTATTAAAAATAGATATTGATATAATATTCTATGCATAGCAAATATAATTGTACTTGAAAAAGTACATTAGGGCGTATAATTACTAATTATCACTTATACGACACCATGCCACCGTTCTTCTCAATATCGGTTCACAATTCTTTCTGGTTAAAATCAATATAGGTGGAATCTTTTGTATGAATCTCTGTCTAACTTATTTCTATTAAAAGTTCATTGTATTAAATTTATTTATATCCATTTTTATACCCTACAACACTATGTATTGGCGAGTTTAATTGGACCAAAAGTTATGTAACACCTCAAAATATTGTTCAAAGATAAAGAATATTACATAACGATAACGCTACAGGTCTCACGAAATTTTGCATGGAGGTGGGGTTCAGGTCAGAATAGATGCCTATTATTTTTAGATATGATCGCAAAATTTTCAGGGGTTGAAAAATGTCCTGATTTTACAGTTTCTCTAAAGGTCACAATTATAGACCAATCGATTCGGAATTTTTCATGGGGCTTGAGTTTGGGACTGGGCAGAAGCATATCGTTTTGGACGGTCGTCGAATAATATTTAGTGAGTGAAATTTACCATAACTTTTATGTAAAAAAATTGCCATTCAACCGCGAGTATTTTTAATTCCAGTGAAAGAACAAATGCCCGAAAAAGTCACTTCTAGCCCTTACATTGATGCTTACATTCAAGATATCACATATATAGTAAAATAAGTAAAATCTCATACATCTCACCGAGCTGAGTCTATCTAGCTATGTATATCCGTCCGTCGGTCTGTCCGTCTGCACATATTAATTTGTAATCACGCTACATGTCGCAATTATGGCCCGATCCTCATGAAATTTAGCATGGAGGTGGGGTTTTGGTCAGAATAGAAGATGATCGAGATGGTCGCATAATATTTAGGGTTTGAAATGAACTAAATATTATAGACTAATCGATGCGGAAGTTAGCATGGGGCTAGAGCTTAGGGCTGGGAAGAAGCCTTCTAATTGATGGTCATCGGGTTATATTTTGTGGATGAATAGACCATAACATTTTTGTTAAATAAAAGTAAAATTTTCCATTAAACCGTGAATATTTTTAATTCCGGCGAAATCACAAATAGACGAAAAGGTCAATTCCCACCGTTACGTATGTATATATGCTAGACAAGCAAATCATATAGATGAGTCTAAATTTGGAGATGCAGAGGGGCCTCTTGCTTTTGAAGACGATTGCAAAATATTTAAGGGTTCAAATTAACCAAAAACAGAAAAATGTTCCTGACCACACAATTGAAACCAGTCGAAACGGAATTTTGCATGAGAAGAGAGTTTAGGACAGGGAAGAAGTTTAGCATTTTGAATGACCATTGGGTTATATTTAGCGTTAAAATGGACCACAATAACTGACAGCACGACGGAGTGCGTAAATATTGGGCAAATGTACATGTGCACAATGCTAATAGAAATATCTCGGCATGCTGCATGACATAATTTCAAAAGCGAAAAATTTGGATATAGGGGGGGCTTCTAACATATTGCAGTGTTGTTGGGTATCACATGGTCGGCCCCGCACGACTATAGGCTTTGCTTACTTGTTTTCTGATATATTTTGTGATTTTTTTTTTTCATAATTACTATCGCATGATTTTTTTTTTTTTTTTTTTAAATTTAACTCACAATATTGAATTTCACATTTTGTAATATTTTTTCAGCTGACAACACTATGTGTTGGGGCGTTTTATATTCATATCGCAATTACTTCGACTTTACAACATTAACCCTCTTCATTTGGTCAACAGCAATAGACTTCGCACCATTTGCAACCAAATACATGTTGAATGTGTTGCCCTTGTTCGGCACGTCAACTTTCAGGCCTTACCGCATAAGAAATGTAGCTGTCAGTCAGACAAAGTAAAATTGAACTTCACGAAAGGACAAGACAAGACATACATAAATAATGTTGAGGAATATGCTGGCCAACACTACACCGGAAGTAGCAAGTAAATAAAGTCCCATTTAAAGTTATGCAGATCGGAAATATAAAAATTTTCAATTTTTTCCCCAAACACTAGGGAAATATTTTTTCCAAGCCTATCCCAAGTTCCTAGTCGTTTGTCAAAGCTGCCTTTAAATGAACCACAAACAAAATGGGCGAGAATAAAAAGAGATAAATGAAACCGCTTTAAATGCAACCATTACTTTGTTTTCCGGGGAATTTGAGTTTTTGACAGTTGGTACTTTTTTCTCGCATTGTGACAGTTGAACATGAAAACTTGATGAGTTTGTGTGTGTATGTCAAATACTTGCGAAAATGTTTTGCTAGATTTACATACACATACATGCATATGAATGTGGGATTCTTTTGCTGCGGGTACGTATATGTTTACATATGTATGCATGTATGGGTTGTGGGGTGTCCATGTGCTCTTGTATTATTATTATTATTGTTGTTGTTGTGGTATTGTGAGTTTAGCACATTTATTGTTTATTCATATTCTCTAAGGGTGAATTTTTCACTCGTCCTGTCATTCGCTCGTTTGACTATGCGAACTGAGAAGAAGTTTTTACTTAACATGTCACAGCATGTCTGTTGGCGAAAAACAAAATACAAACGGCAGCAGGAAGGCCAACAGAAGACAGCCTTCTGTCTCTCTGTCTGCCTGCCAGCCTGTCTGTCTGTCTGTTTGTCTATCTATCTATCTGTGTACATGTGTTTTAGCTACCGGCTTTTATAAGAAGACTTTTCACTTCTTTTCAAAGAAAACTGACAATAATTCTTTAACTTGAACATGCAAAAACAACACACTCACACCGGGACAAAATGTTTGCATGACAGACGTCTGTGCGGTTGTTGTTGCTGCTTTTTTGTTTTTGCTCTCTTGTTTTATCGTCACTTATCTAAAGTTTTATTGTTGTTTATGCTTACTTTCTGATTATACGGTTTTTTCTCACTTCCACTACATTTCCTTAGCATACGTCGTTTTCAAGTGCAGGAACTGGAACTGTATCAGTGTGCATGTGTGTGTATGGGTTATTGCTTTTTCCTATTCCCACATTTGAGTTAGTGAGTGTTTGTTTGTGGTCTATTCTTGGTGTTTCAGTAGAAAAGTTGTTTGTTTCTCTCTACGCGTATGTGTGTGTGTGTTTGTGTGCTTGTTTACATCTGTATGTGTGTGGCTAAGGAAATTTATGTTCTTTGCCATATTTGACGACAATCGAACTTGTTGACTTTTCTTCTCCGTTGTTGTGTTGTGGTTGTCGTTTATCGTTCGTTCCATTGTTTGTTGGTTCTTTGGTCATGTGTGATGTGTTGCATGAGTAACGAGTTCTAGCTTCAGACACTCACCCACTCCCGATACAGTTACAACTAAAGTGCATGACAATTTCACTTTGTTATCACCGTCTTTTTTCTCTCTTGACATTTGTGTCGTTTTGTTGTTATTTGTTGTTTGAAAGAACTTGTTGTAGTTATTGCTGCTGTTGGCTGCTTATGGCAGACATGCATATTTAATGATCGTTTTTGTTGTTCCTTATGCGGTCTTCTATCATTACTTAAAAAAGTTTGAAACTAAATTGCATTTACCAAAAAATATACAAATCCAAAGTTTGAATCCATCATACGGAATGAAGTTGGCGGTAGTCGACATACGCGCGAACATATGTATGTGATGTTTGATTTCGCCATTAAGATTCCCCCTATTTAGTAGACAATAATAAAAAGTCCCGCTGTATTACCGTCATTAAATTTTGCTCATGCGGAATGTATTCACGGGATGACAAACAATATGCGATGGCAAACTTTTTCGCATATTTATGAGCCACAAAAGGATAATTGAAAGGGGAAATGCGTGACATAGACAACGATAATTTAAGTTGGAAATTGTCAACTTTTTTATGATTTCAATGCAATGAGAGAAATAGCAGTACTTACAGATAGTGGCACTCAGCGGACATGTTTCGAGTAAGAGACCAAAAAATGAGGCAGTTGTGTTTAGGAATTTTCAGTTATGTTATGCACTTAAAACGAAAACCTCTGAATCGCGAGAGCAACAAATACATAAATGTACATAAATAATAATGTTCCTAAATCTAATAAACATAAATTTGTGTAGGTCAAATTTTTTTTAAGGTTTGGATGTAATAGGTCTTTGAGTTGAAACGCCTCGCCCCAACAGGCTTCTAATCTACATAGGAGCTAAAAAGAAGCGCTTTAGTGCATGCACAATTATAATTTTTGAATTTTTATTAAAATTTCATGTCGAAGGATTTTATAACACATTTTTTTTGCATTTTGGGGATATTTAGGATATTTGGTACTTTCCACACAAACTGTCGGGATTAAAAAAATGTCTATGTCATTTCGAACATCATAATACAAATTTTTGAAGAGTAACTTCTCTTATAAAATGCGAAATTAGAGCAAGCTCTACATCAAATTTCAAACAGTTTTTACCAAAATAAAATATAAGAATGTGAATGTAGGATATAGCCGAGTACTTTGTTCGGTCAACATTTGGAATGCTATATAAGGCTATCGGCGTACACAATTAGGTCCACGTATAGCATATTATAAGATTTCTACTGATGCGAAAAGTGTCCCATCGAAATACAGAATTTTTAACGCTTTCTCTCTTTTTGGGCAAAATACGTTTATTGCCGAAGAGAGTATCCCATTTGGTCCGAAACGATTTCCCGATTTTCTTACAACTCCGCACATTAGAATACCACGACCACCACTACATCTAGATGGGTTAATTATGTCAACTTCTAACAAACGGTCGAAATTAAAAAAAGAAACAAAAACCTGATAGGAAGTGAAGAACATTTTCGACGAGGTTGGAGCTTTGTAAGGCGTACTATACGTATTTGCCGTAGATCATATGAGAAAATGGACAACATCTCCACCGAAAATTTCGAAACTTGAAAAATTAATTACTCTCATGAAATTCCAAA